GGTTCCGAAGATATCGATAGCAAAATCGATAACAATATCGATATAAAGAATCATTAACAAAATCGTTAAAAATAACGATAACAAAATCCTTAAAAATATTGATAACAAAATCGATAAAAATATTGATGACAAAATCGATATAAATATCGATAGCAAAATCAATCAAAATATCGATTATTATATTGACAGGTTCCGAAGATATCGATAACAATATCGATAAAAAGAATCATTAACGAAATCGTTAAAAATATCGATTACAAAATCGATAACAAAATCGATAAAAATATTGATAACAAAATCGATAACAGAATCGATAAAAATTTCGATAACCAAAGCGATAAAAATGTCGGTTATTATATCGATAAGTCCCGAAAATCTCGAAAATCCCTAAAATCCCAAAATAGTTCACAGATTGAGCTCTGTGTATCCATCTATATCCTTTTCTCTATAATTACCTTTATTTTAATTTTTCTTCCTCTATCTTCATCTTTCCTCTTATCGGTATCCTCATCCTTACCCTTTTCTTTATATTTATCTTTGTTTTTACTTTTGTGTTTATACTTTTCTTCATCTATATATTCCCCTTCACTTAAGTAAACTGTTTAAATTTACCTTGGTCTTCATTTTCGCCTTTATCTTTACACATCTTTATTTTTGTTTTTATTTTTTCCTTTGCCTTTATCCTTTTCTTTATCTATGTACGTACTCCCCTTTACTTTCATTCTTGTATTGGCCTTTTCTAAGTTATATCCTGCTTTGGAACTAAAACGATTTTTTTTGAAGGTCTTTGGAGGACTTGTAATTGACGCGATACATTCCAGTTTGTCGATAAATTTCGATAATTTTGTACATATCGATAATTCAATGAATCTCAAAAACTAACTAAAACTAAAAAACTCGACTGATTTCGATTATTTTGATTAAATTTTGATAACTGTGAATTTCCACGGCTCGATAAATTTCGATAACTTAAAAACAGGGACCGTTAGTATTCTGATATGGGCGCAAATTTGTTTCAAATAAATCAACATGAAGGATTGTTCAGAAATATATGATGTAGTACATATATGAAAATTATCGTCTTTTAGAGATCTATTCATTCGTGCAATAATTAGAATTGACCCGATTAAAATTATTACTGGATAGTGCGTGCGCAAACAGGCCTAATGGAGTAGATCAAATGTTCAAGTTTACGAACGTTCGAGTTATCGCGAGTGCACTGTACTGCAATTTAAAACGCAACCAAAATGTGCTCAACTCATCTAAACGATTTCTAAAAAGTTTGCAGCAACAGAAGTACCCCCTACCTCCGTAACTCTGGGGGTTTAGTCGTTTTTCGCCACGCTCAGCATTTATTGTAGGTATTTAAAGTTCATTGAGTTTGTCGTCAAACGACAGCGACGATACTCTCATCAACAATAAACAAAAAATTTTGCAGTTGAATGACGTTTAGGCACGCTAAAGTGCTGCAAAAACAAATACAATAAAGTACATTAGTGTATGCAACACAATCAAAAGCATTTACAACTTGCCGTTGTTGTCATAATTACAAAAACAAAATGTAGCAACAACAATAAAAAGCAACAGTGCATTTGCTTAAGCGCCACTCACTCGTTTATACAGAACTTACTTTTAGCAAATTCATTCTTTAGTGTAACGAAACAAAAAACCACACCACGCTTGAACGCCCAAAAGTAGGCGAGGCGTGAGTGTGGAAATATATGCAACTACAAAAGTTGCCAGCACGCTGTAGCATGAAGTGCGGAATGGCTGCTGAATGAATGGAAGAATGCAGGCACAGTGTTGCCGCGCCGTCCCAAGAAAATGTATCACCGACCAAGCCAAAAATGTATCCAAATGTATCCAATTTTCTTTTTTTACGTATCCATCTCATAATTTGTAAGAAAACCAAACATTTTGAAGAAAAAGACATAATTTAACCCATCCTAAGGACTTGGAATACGTGTATATATATTTTTATATTTTATAAGATCAAACATTTGTAATTTCAGTTTATAAATTACATCTTTTATACATAAGTATTTTGCAAAGTATAAAAAATAGTAATTAATATGTTACATTTGTACCTGTACACTATGAAGTGTGTGCAAAACTACTACTGAAAAATATCTATTCTTCAAACAGGAATCTGTATAAATATACATACGTATAAGATGGTCAGAATTCGATTTTGAACTTGAGATCTTTAAAATATATACATAAAGTTGTAAAAATTTTGAAACTAAAAGTACATTTTCTACAAATAATAAACATTAGGGGCTTACATTTACTCTATTTTAAACATTTTATGTATTATTTTGCGCTCTGCGACAAATTTGGTATGTTAAAGTAAACAGGCAGTGTTTAATTTTATTACACGGTGTGCAAATTTGCACACATTAAAAGAGGAAAATGGTTACCTTTCTTAATATGCGCAAATAAACAAAAAAAAAATAGAGTGTATTTAAAGTATTTTCAGTCAAATTCATAAAAATTTCCTTAAATAAATCAAATTTACAGTGTATTTTAAACTACATTGAGATCTTCTTTCTTTTTATATTAGCAAATAAAGATATGTGATATGAAAGAGATATATTTAATTTATATATATATATTAAGATCTTTGTGTGACAACATCAAGGCGCACGCCACAAATCGGAGGAGAAGCTCGGCCAAACACTATCGTATGTGTAAGCGCCAATCCATTATTATTATTATTATTATATTAAGATCTTGCTTAAAGCATTTTTTTTAGCTAACTAAACAATTGCGCCTAAAAGCTTAAACAGACGGCAGCGTTGATCGGGATTAACTGGGACTTAATCCGGATTAACTGCAGTTAATTCCCGAGTTGATCCGGATCAACGCTGCCGTCTGTTAAAGCTCTTATTACACTGCTTTGGTGAGATCTCTTCATATGTTCATTGCTTCATTCACAAAAAATAAAACGCTCTAATTTCACGCTTAAGTAGCGATTTTTATAACATTTAGAAAACGTCATTAATGAAAATCTATTTTTGAACGAAAAAAACTTTATAGAAAATATAAAATTTTGGCCGATTTAAAAAAGTATCCAGATTTATACTGATAGGAAAAAATAAGTATCCCGCAAAAATTCGTCTAATAATGTATCCAATTGGATCTATTTAGATCCAAACGGCATCCCTGTGCAGGCATCAGACAGCAGTGTTGCCAAGTTTTGAGTTTGAAATAGCACTAAAACCCAAGAAAATCACGTTTTTTCTCGAAAAAAGCACCAAATTTTTTATTGGAGGATTTAATGGACTTTGTATGCATATAAAATTTTATGCCGATTCAAATTAATAAAAATTTATGTTTCTTGCTCGGCGGTCGAATTTATTCTGTTTTCTATAAATTCAAATATATTCGTCCAAACGACGCGACGTAATCATTTTTGTTCTTACATATTTTGCAATTTGCAGCTGTGCCCCGCGTTGCCGTTCCGCTTAGATTTGCGCTGTTTAAATATTAATTTTTCTTCTTTTTGCTTAATTTTTTATACAATTCCTATCAAACGAAAGTAACAACAAAAAATGAAGTTTAAGGATATATGTGGAAGTGTGGAAGTTTCCCCTTTTTAAAGTGAAGCGCATAGTGGAAAAAATCGTTTTGTGTAAAAAAAGCTGCCTACTCGATTATTCATTTTACTGTGAGGAGATGCTATTGCTTTGTTTAATATTCGTAAAAAATATAACAAATACAGCACAAACTTAAGGTCTAAAAATCGATTCCTGGTCCCAGAAACATGGACGTTTTTGCAGGCAATGGCAAATTACCGTATGTAATTCTGGTACGATTGAACGTGCTGCCACATATTTTTTTTTTTTTTTTTT